CATGTCACTGCTGTGTTGCCCGCTGCTCTACTTCCTGAAGACTCTAAAATCTCTATTAAGATGGTCACCTCTATACAGAGATACATTTCAAAACAACGTATGGTAAGTCAGTAATAGGGAAAGATCAGCTGACGGGAGCCTACAGGCAATACTGGTGACTAGCCTTCTGTCGTTTCCCTGCCTTTTTTTAAATACTGTATTGTGCTATTAAAGCTCCTCATAAAGTAGAACTCCAGGCAAAACTTATATTAAAGTTTTGGATAGACAGTGGAAAGTCAAATTTTTATTGCTGAAATATTTCCCTTCTCTTCAATATCCCAGAGACAAGACAGGAAGTTAGAGGAAACTGTGAGGACAAATCCCAAATTTTTGATAGTTGTCACAGGAAGTGGGGTGTCCCCTTTGGGAGATTTTTGCTCAGGTGCTTTTCTGATGACATCATAATATTTAAGATTTCCCCTCAGTTTCTGTCCTAGTGACAATGGTCATCAGGATAGAAAAAACAGAAATATGGACAGCAGAAATACAGATAGCAATAAAAACATGCACTTCTAAAGCCCCTTTTAGACGGGCTGCGTTCCTTGCGATCAGCAGGTCCAACAATCTAAGGCCAGCAGGCTGAGAGTAACTGGGGTATGGTTAACCCCCCAGTTATCCCTTTACACTGAATAACAGCTGCCACCACGTAGTTTAATGAAAACAAGCACCATTCCCACCAAATGCTGTGACAGTTCATAAATGTAAACAATGCCTCTGATGCCACTATCCTTTCAGACATGAATATGACAGGTTTTACAATGCGGTAGCACTCTTCACAGAGGCAAGGATACTGTAAATTCTTATTTAGAGCGATTTAAAAAGATCGTTTTTTTTAAAGAGTCGGTGCAAGAAAAATATACAGAATAAAGATTTTAACAAAAGAGAGACAGAGATAACAATAGTAAAAATAAAAAGTGAATAAAATTGAAAGTACTTAAAGGAGAACTGTGAGGTGAGTGCTTTTCACTCATCCTCATAGTTCTAGCCGACCTGTGACAATGAAACTGTCACAGGTCGGCTCAGTAGATCGGAAAGTCAGTGCCCTAAAAAATACTAAAACAAATATGCCCCCCCAAAAATAACCTGTCCCATCCCCTCACAGCCGCCGCGGGAACATACAGCTTTGACTGTCGGAGTTTACTGCAGTTCAGTGTAAAAAGTTTTTTACACTGTTGATGGAATACCAGCATATATCGAGACGAGGCGATGGTATATTTGAAAAGATTAACATTTGTTTTATTCGTGCACGGGAAAACTCAATACAGACAATGAAAAAGTTCGGACTTGTTCCTCACACATACCGACGTTCGCTCACTTCTCGATCCTGTCACGGCAGAGATAGTGACTAGATTCCCCCCTCCCCGCTCCGATCCTGGCGGAACGGAAGGGGGGGGGGGGCAGTTACAGTTGGCTCTGCCTCTAGATAGGCAGAGCCAGCTGTCACTCACGCAGCTGGGCGGATCCAGACATAATTGTCGGGATCTGTTTCAGCTGCGGCGTCGCAGTATACCGGGAGCTGTAGCTCGCGGTATACTGAGCTTAGGGTGACGGGAGGACGCTAGTTTATGTCCTCCCGTTACCCTTAGGAGAACTATGGGGAAAAGCCCTAACCCCATAATTCTCCTTTAACAAGTCCTGGGTTTTGTGAATTCTAGAAGAGCCCAGACAATAAAACAGAAGAAAGATCTGGATAGGGCTCTTCCTCAAGTAAAGTTTGCAAAGGTTCCTTCTTGATGTTAAAGGGGAGCTCTTCTTTGATGGTACATGAGCCTCTTCTTTTGACAAGCTTTTTCTTTTGATGTTATGACAAGATCTTTTCGCTGCCTTGTGGAGGAGCTTTTTATGGGCCCCCTAGGGGGTGCCATTAAGCCACCCCCTAATCCAATCAGGAAAAAGATGTGAGAGTAAGGACTGAGCACTTTATGACCTTCTCCTCTGCCCCTCCCAAACTGTCAGTTTTATATCAATAATTATATTTCTTTATTTTCACATTTTACCACCAAATAAGCCATAGATTATTGTGCGTTATAAAATTAGCTTTGTTTTAAAACCAAAGTTGATGCACTTGTGAAGTATGCCTGGTCCAGAATGGTTAATGTGTGTCTTTAACCCTCTGGACCTTTTAAACCCACCAAATTTGATATGCGTGCACTTCATTTTTAAATAATATAGCCACACATATATTCATTATTATTGTAATCCCCCCAGTTTAAAGTTATAAATATTAAGTTAGATTGGAAATTAAGTTTATTAGCCTGAGTGAGATACCAGGCATTCCTTTGTTATCAGACCAGGAGATCTTTAGAGAATTAACTGAACTATCCATGGACAACTACTTAGGCGATCTGGCTAATTTTTCACGTGAGTACTTTATGATATTCTGCTGAGAGTATGGAATCATTCAAGAACCTTCTAGATACTTTTCTCAGCGAGCAAGATAAAAAGAGTCATTAGGCCATGCCTACACAACAACTTAGGTAATTAGTATTTTACGATACTTTCACCATGAAAGGGTATAAACCATCAAAGCCTTGAGAAGCAGATATCTGTTTGCTCTGGACTTTTAAGATGGCCTAAACAAAATTAAATACATTTGTGTAAGGGCAACCTGATGTCATTTGTACTAGGTGTGTTCCAACAAAATGAGAGGAAGATGGAATTCCCTAATTAATATTAGGGTGCCCAGACCTCATTACCATCACATAGTCCATGTGAGATAATACTTCTGATCTTTCCTCTGGCATGGCTCCTTTTCATACTGCACCTGGGTGCAGTGGCCCCATTTAATACTATGAATAGTATTGGGTGTAGCTATTTGCAGGTCTCATACCAGGACACACTCCATATAAAAGGTATTAACACATATGTATTATATATGGAATGATCATTTATTAACTGCTTTCCTGGTGCTTTCTGAATAAACATTGCAAAAATGTCAAAAGCTGAGCCTTGCCATTGAGGAGAAGTTGGAATTCTAGACAGCACATTAATCATCACACATTGTCATGCAGCTCACTACTCTGAATGGAGTTTGGGGTCCTGATAACACCTCTCACCCTCTCAGCTTAGTGCCTTGAAGACAGATGCACCTGTCTCTTTGGCTAAATAGTTTTGCAAAGAAATACGATCGGCCTTAAAGTGCAACCTCTTTCCTGACAGTCACAGTAGAGATAACATAATCTTGCTAAGCTTCAGGCCAGATGCAATGACAATGCTGGCATTATAGATCTGGAAAAGCCATCCAACAAAGACGCGATTCTCTGTCTATATGTTTAAATTAATGGAAGAGTCTATCTTCACAAATTATTTCTGTCTAGAGGGGTTAGAGATAGACCCCCTTTATGACTTTCACAACACAGATTTACATTCCCACTTCTGGTGCAATGATGTGTCTCTAGCATGGGGCACTTAACTTCATTAACCAGTAACCATGCCCTTATAAAAATAACAGTGCCTCACCGAGAGCTAGATACCTCCACCAGTCTCTTGAGCTTACATGCAGGTAATAATGCACTTCATGACAAAGTTACTGTTAATCAACATATTATTTTAAGTTTCAAAGGCCAACTCTGCTCTAGAGCAGTGAAAGCTTTTAACAAAGTAAAAACACATAGTGGGAACAACACTCCTACTGTATATATTTGTAGACAGAATATTAGTACAGTAGATGTAAACTGAATTACTAAAATCTCATATAAGCTTTAACACGTTAATGTCAATTCAAAAGTAATTTTCAACCTTTTCTAATTTGCAGCTTTTGCCATATTAATACCTGATGATCCTGTAATAATGGTCCTTGTTCAGGCACTTCCTGTTTATGGTGACAAAGCTGTGTCCTTTTTTCCCCAATTGTGCTTTTTATGGAGACTACAAGTGGCTGTATAAACAAACATTACAAAGGTCCATTGTTGTCACCATTAGAAGTGGCAGCAAAGAAACTGCAGTTAATTGGCAGAGCTGAGAAGCAAAAAAGGATGAAAAAAGGTGAAAACAAGCATGTAAAAAAAAAAATGGCTATAGCCCTTACAGCAGCCAATGGCGGCCGAGCGGCTCAGCCGAGCCAAAGGCATATGCTTTGGCTCGACTGAGCCGAAGTGACAACCAAAGCGGGGCGAATGGCTGCCCGAAGGCCGGCCTTTCGCCCCGCAAATGACAGCTGGGCTCTGCCCAGTTGTAATGACAGATCAGCGTCCCCAAATGACCTGGGGACGTTGATCTGTCATTAAACAATATCAACTGGGCGGAGCCGGTCGTGACGTCAGGGCCGGCTCCGTTCATTCAATGTTTACATTTTAAAAATATTGGTTCAACCTTTTTTTTTCTACTTTCATTACTGTTTGCTATTCTTCTCGGTACCACGCAGGTACTGAGCAGAATAGCCTAGCCGAATGCCAGTCGGCGGCATTCGGCTATTCACTCACTGCCATTCGGCTCCTATGTGAATATGATGATGTTGGATCAGCTGAGTCGAAGTTCTTCAGTACTGAGCCGCAGTGAATAGCCGAATGTAGTTCGGCTCACTTCACTTCGGCTGGGTTACCTTTCGGCAGCTTTGTGAATAACCCCCTAAGTGTCATTCAGTTAGAAATTACATTTGCTTTAAATTACCATAAAATACTAAATGACAGCTACAATTGATGCTTAAGCTCAATAAGAAAGTCGGAGTCTTGCAGATAATACTATTCTGGATCCTCTGGACAATCAGACATACAAAGAAGCTTGTCAAATTACTACTGAAGGAGACCATGGTCTGACCCATGCCTGTAATTTTTAGATGATTCCACAATAGTCATAGAGAAGTCACTTTTTGTGTTTAATTTGAGTTCACGTTTTCTAGCTTTTTGTTTATATTTGACTGTGGAGCAGAAGTAAGGTTCACTTCTCCTCTATAGACAAGGTCATTTACACATAAATAAGAGATACAGAGCTAAAAAGATACAGATGTATTGGGATTGACTTACTGCATTAAAGTTAGGGAAGAGGCTAAGCGGAGAGACTCCATTGATCCTGAATGTAAGAAGATGCTTGATGTCCAAGTGTGTCTGTATTGGTCTGTTTGGGATCCCAAGAGAAGCCAGCAATTGACCACCATGAGTAGGAGCACCTGCAACAGAAGAGGCATATGTCATTTAGAGTACACATTTCCTATGTACTTCCAAGTAAGCAGGTCTGGGTGTTGGCTTGTTCAGTACTGTGGTATGGAATAACAGTAATTGACTATACTATACTATTTTTTCAATGATATGCATATCAATATTTACTGAGAGAGTATCAGACCTCATCAAGGAGTCATTAGTTATACTGATTACTTCAGTTACAAACTGCAGTTGCTACAATAGACATTGTTTCAGTGATGTCTGTAGTAGATTTCAATGAGGCAGTTTTAGTTATTTGAAATCTACTGCAGACATCACTGAAACAATGGAGCACGATGTGACCATTCCTAGTGAACTAATAACTGGACATTATCTATTTTTTTATAATAATTGGTTTTACATTGTTGTCTTATAACTGTCATATTCTATCTTTAATGCAGAAGTTTATTTATTTATTTTCCTGTGATTTACCTCTAATGAAGAGTTTCCTGCATCCAGCTGGCTGCTGGGTAATATAAAAAGCCTCCCTTCAGTGATGCTGTATCCTCCTCTAAACTGTGAACTCCTGGTGCTGCCATCCCCTTTGCGCACTCAAAAAACTCCTAATATTATTGTCACAGAATGCAAGGTGTTCTGTGAATAGAGGAGGGAGTTCCTATTATTCATCGGCCCTCCACCATGCACAAAAAAATTAAATTCGGAGAAAAATGGAGAGCAGCACCAGTCCTTTGCTGTTAAAGATGAGGCAGTTAAGCCACGCGTGCCAGAAGTTCATCGCTATGAAGAGGATACAGCATCACTGCATGTAGTTTTTTTTACATTAACAACCAGGATGTAGAAAAAACTTATTTAGAGGTAAACTACAGGACTACTGTCCACAATTGTTATTCAGTTAAAATAAAAAGAAAATACTGCACATCCCCTTGTATGACAAATAAATGCCTGTAGGAATTTTAGGAATTGTATTTATAACATATGTACACAAACAATAAGCCAAAGCAACCAACCAGACAACAACTGCCTGTAGCTAGAAGTTTCTGAACTTTTCACATCACGCACTTTACACTTCCTAATAAAAACAAAGCTTTTTTATCTTACCTGTAAAAAACATTTTTTTATTGGAGTACATCACAGGGCATGGGAAGTTAGTTCTGCAACCAATGCAACCAACCAACCAACCAACCAATGAAACAATGGGTTATGCAGCTACCTTCAGGTGATTGGATACAGGCAAATCAACACTGTAAGAACAGCCCTGTATAACCTTGCCACTCCCAGCCTGTCTCAGTTTTGTAGAGCAGTACAAGAGTGAATCACAGAAAACAGTGGAAAGGGTTCTGTGTCATGTGATACTCCAAGAAACGGATTTTACAGGTAAGACAAAAAATATGTTTTTATCATACATTACAGGACACAGGAAGTTAATTCTGGAACCAATGGGACAGCCAAAAGCAATCCAAAAGAGGGTCAAGTAACACAGCATACAATGGCTAACACGCCCATGAAAAAACACAAACCCCAGGAGGGAAGTATAACAAAAGGGGCCCAAAAGTCAAAGGGCCACCTACTTTGCAGAACATTGCATCTGCAGAGGCCTGAACGTCCACCTGGTAAAACTTGGCAAAAGTGTAAACAGATGGCCAGTTGGCAGCCTAACAGATTTGTGATACTGAAGCCTGATCCTGGAAGGCTCAAGGAGCACTAACACTTCTAGTAGAGTGAGCCCTGACTGGAAAGAGGGGTTATCAGACTGTAGCATGTGGTAGAATAAAAATATGGCAGCATTTAGCAAACTGATATGAAATATCATAAAGCGCTTCAGCCCTCCTGTCTCACACCCCTGGGTTTTTTTGATGGAGTGGGTGACTGGCTCAATGTTGCCCTCTAGAAGGCACACAAAAAGCTGCTGAAACCTTCCATTTTACCATCAAACTATGCACAAAGGCGGAGTAATTTTTGAGGGCAGTGACTCTGATCAAATTGGACTTGGATTCCACTGGATCTCAAAGACCATGAAAACCTTGCCAAGTACTTTTATTTCCATTTATTTTTTTTTACTGATATTATTGTCTGTATTTATATTTCCTTTTTTTGTAAATATTTTTTTTGCACTGTTTTTATCTTTCCTTTTTTTTAAATGATATTTAAAAATCATTAAGCTTCATCTCTAATTCTCAGAGCTTAATAATATGGTACAGTTCGTCAAAGAGGTAAGAATTCTTAAACTTTGTTTCAGCCCTGTCTGGAGTTGCAGTGGGTGTCGCAGACCTGTCTTAAAGTACACAATTGTTACAGTAGATATTATGAATAGTTCTTGTTTGCATAAGACAAGTGATGGCAGCTATTGTTTGTATGTGTAAAGGGTTAACTGTGGAGTTAACCAACTTCAGTGACTATCACTCGCAGTCTGCTGGACTTAGATGGTTGTCCTATAAGCTGGGAAATCTCTGTGCAGGGTGGAGCTGAAAGTTCCATCCTCACTAGGACCATTCTTTGGGGTCCAGACATTGATGACAAAGGAAGTCTCCATCCCAATTTTCCACACCTGTAATGTTTGTGGCAGACAGGGCTTGGATGTGAAATTCCACTCAAGCCAGAATCAGGTCCACTTCCCTTTGAGTTTTGCAACTCCTGGTGCCTCCTTGATGTTGATGGCTATAGAGTTGTCTAACTGATTCTGGTTGGGTGACTCTATGAACTGAGGGGCCCAGAGAAGACGGGTCAAACAAATGGTCCTGTCCAGAATGCTGATCAGGCATTGACATTCCTCTGATGACCAGGTCCTTCAACCGTGAGGTCTTGCAGGACTTCCCCCAAACATGGAGGGCTGGCATCCGTCATGAGCACCTTTCAGACTAACAGGAGGAAGGATTACCCAGATTCCAGGGCTAGGCTGTAAATTCACCACACTAGGGCACGCCTAGACTTGCTGAACAGGTAAACAGGCAAGTCCAGGGACTGAACCGGTTTTTACCATGCAGCCAGAATGTTGAGTGGCAACAGCCTGGAATTAAACTGAGCATATGGGACAGCTTTGAAAGAGGTCTGTATTAAGCCTTGTACTTTCATGCAAAAGCAAAAAGGTTGGCGACTCCTGGACCGCAAGGTCCCAGTATTGCAGTGGACAGATCCAGGACAGGGGCGTGTCTAAGACGAGGCTCTGGTACTTAAAAGGGTGAGAGGGTTCCAACGCTAACGTCTGGAGTTTCTGGACCCATTCAAAGCTCTGCAAGGCTTGTATCATCCACTGCCTGTCAGACGATAAAGCTCCCCTGACTGCCCTCTAAGGAGAAGGTTGTTAAAGTACCCCATCATGGCGATCACATGAGACCAAAGCAAAGCCAAAACAGGGGTCAGCACAATGGCGAAGGCCCAAGGTGCAGTAGACAGGCTGAAGGGAAGAGCAACAAATTGGTAGTGTTGTGTGTCCATAGCTGGTGGGCATAGAAGCATCCTTTATGTCCGCCGAAGCATACAAGTAGTATACAAATCGAACTTTTGGATCCACAGGAACCCGTTGAGAATATTCAGATCAGGAATAAGGTGAAACCTTTTTGCTTTGGGGAAAGTGAACAGGTTGGAACAGAACCCCTGAAATCTTTCTATCTCGGGTATGGGGGCTATGACCCCCTGAAAAAGAAGCTGATCTAGGGCAGCGAAAAGATCTGTACATCTTTGAGGAAATCTTGACAAGTCCAACAGCAGGAAGTAAAGAGGAGTTAAGATCCAATGCTCTGGACCCAGGCACCAGTAATGTCCTGGATCTAAGAGGCCAAGACGACTGACTGTTTAGCCACTATTCAAAGTGTCACCCCTTCATTGGGAAGAGGGCTTGTTCCCCAATTTTCTGAACCAGGGGGACCAAGATTTACAATGCCCGGCTTGCGATTAGAACCTGAAGCCTGGGGGGGACAAAATAAACTTTTCATTAAGCAGGGTGCAGAAAAATTTAATACGGGAGGTTTTTTTCTGTCATAAACAAATACTCGTCAACCCCTTGACTTCCTGGTGTAAATATCCAAAGTTTTGCCAAAAGACATTTCCGGTCAAAGGGCAGGGGCTCCATGTGCTTTTTGCACTGAAGCTCACCAGATCAGCCATAGGATTAATTACATGGGAACAGACAGGAGACTCATCCTGCATATTTGTCTGAGTATATCTGCCAGGTCATTAACGCAGTAGCGCAGGGTCATAGGAGAAAACTTCATTGGGGGGTGAGGAGACCAGGGGGGGAGATACTTTCATTTTGGGAGGGGGGGGCAGGGAGGGATGTACTGTCACTGGGGGGTGAGGTGGTCAGGGAGG